TTCAGGTTTTCTTGCCCAGTATTGCCTCATCCCAGGGGAGGAAGGCAAAACCTTTACGCACTGACTGCTGACACATAAAGACAGGCAGTGACCCCGTGCTGTCAGATGGTGTCAAGCAGACATCTGTAGCTGTTGAGACAGGTTGATTAAATGCAGATGGGAGCTGCTTTTCTGCGCTGCTCCTCCGGAGTGCTTGAGAGCTGCTCTGCCCACAGCTGCCAACTGCCCACAGCTCTTATGGGCAGAGCTGTAAGATTACCCGAAGCACAGAGCTACTAAAGTAGGCATTCATCGGTTAATTACAATTTCAAGTTAATTAAATGGCTGAGGGAGTCCACGTTAGAAGTGAACAGTGAAAAGAGGGAGGGTTTGTTCTCAGCTCCTTTTTACTTCAAGGCTGTTGGTCATTCTGGGAAAAATAAGTTTTCAAATGGTAGAAAGAAAAGTGGCATAAAATCTAAAATAGAAGCAGCTTCTTTAACTGCACTTTGGTTTTGTTGTGTTTCACTGTTGTTCTTTGCAGGAGGAGCTGTACTTAAAACGTGTGGCTGAATTGGATGACATTACCAATGAGAGAGACAGATTTAGACAAGCTTTTGAAGATCTCAGAAAGCAGAGGCTAAATGAATTTATGGCAGGATTTAATGTAATAACAAATAAACTGAAGGAGAACTACCAGATGCTGACTTTGGGAGGAGATGCTGAGTTAGAACTCGTAGACAGCCTGGATCCCTTCTCTGAGGGAATCATGTTCAGGTATGTGAAAATACTTGGCACTGTGGCTGCAATTCCTCAGCATTGTATTGCCTTTTTAAAACCCATTTTTACAGTAAACTTCACAGCTAACCATGGCAGTCCCATCTCTTGGCAAATACTGGCAAGATACTCACAGAAGCCACAACCTTTTAGCACTGAGTAACATTCATTTCACTTCAGGAAACACAGAACTAACAAACAACAGTTAGAAAGCCTTGATTTCAAAGCGATGTTCCAGGATTCTTGTTTCCCAAACCATTTCCTTTGCCCGAGGAATCGTGTCAGATCACAGTGGCAAGCAGACATGGTTCTGCCATCAACAGCCCTGAAGTATATTCATTACTTTAAGAACAGAGCAACACTTTTGAAACATAATGAAATAGTAGTTCTTCAATGTTGCAGGTCCCACAGAGAACAAACGAGTGTCACAGCAGCTCCAGCCCAGGCAGGCAGCAGCTACACGTAGCTGTGTGTGCCCAGGGAGCTGCTCCACGACCTCCCTGCTGCCTTGTGGCTGGCTCGTCAGCACGGCCTATTCCTTGATTCATGAGCAGGAGTAATTTACAAACTGACTTTGTTTCAGCGTTCGGCCTCCCAAGAAGAGCTGGAAGAAGATATTTAACTTATCAGGAGGAGAGAAGACTCTCAGTTCACTGGCTCTAGTTTTTGCACTTCATCATTACAAGCCAACACCTCTGTATTTTATGGATGAGATCGATGCAGCACTTGACTTCAAAAATGTATCCATCGTAGCATTTTACATATACGTAAGTACTGGCAGCTACTGCAGTGCGACCTGTGCCTTCTCTGCCACAAAAAGGGAAAGTGGTAACGAAGTTACAGCCGGATTCAGTCTTTGTAAGACGCAGTGTTTTCAAACACCTGTGCTAAGCAGATGTGCAGAAAGCTGCTCAGAATGTAGTTTTCTGCCTGTTTTTTTCTAGACTGCTGCTTTCTTGAAGTTGGGTTGCTAACGGAAGATCTGTAATTATTCCCTACATCTTCACTGCACGTTTTGGAAAGCTGTCTAAAGAGCAAAGAGTTTGCCAGCAGCGCTGCAGTTCAGCACAGCCCTGCTGCAACTCCTTTCTCTTTAAAACTTACTTTCACTCAAACTGATCAGCCCCACTCAGCTGAGCTGCTCCTGGTAGGGCGTTCACACATCCGGGCTCATGACTTCATTCTGAGGTGCAGCCAAAGCCAAAGGATTTTTACTGGCCTTTCATTCTCTCAGGCTGCAGCAGGCAGGTTTATTGGATCTGTCTTTTTTGAAAGCCTGAAAGGAAAAGCACTGATATTTCTATCATCACCATATTTAAGCCAAGCGAGCATTTACATTGCTGCAGTTCCTGCTAATTTAAAATTTAAATTTTCAGAATTACTCAAAGTATAACCCATTTTGGGAACAGGCTGGAAATGCCAAAGATTAACTGCTTCAAGCTAGGGAAGCACCTTAAACTTTGCTTCCACAGTACTTGTGTGTTCACACGTGTGACCTTCCACTGAGTTACTAAGGGAAAAAAGGTGGTTTTATTTTGAAAGCACCAGCCAAGGTAGATGTTTGGTTATCTTGTGCCATCGTGCCTCAGGATCACAGAACTGCTTTCCTTCTTCAGAGCTTGTCCCCTTCAACAAGGGGTTTGCTTCCCCCAGTTCTCAGTGTGTGGAGATAGGTTTCATTTCCTTTCCATTCCTAAAGGAGCCCTCGTTAGGACAATTCAGGTAAGTCAGGCAGCCTTCAGGAAAGCTAATGAAATTCACATTAAGACTGGGGCAAACTGAAATTCTGCAAACATTTACGTATGCTTTTATTTAATTCAATTCACTTGAACAGGTCATGTGAAAGGAAAAAAAAAAAAAAAAAAGGGGGAAAGCTGTTGCTTGAGTCAGTTGAAATGCTTTGTGCTGAAAGCCAAGGCAGGACTCAGCCAAAAGCAGACGATTGAGATCAGCACCTGCAGAGCTGCTGGACTGCACTGTGCACCGAGCATTTACAGGGATGTGCCAGCAGTTCTTAAAGCTGGATGTGGAGACCATGCAAGAGCACAGCTTCCCCAAAGCCCTGAGCTCATCCGAATACCTTTTGTTCCAGGAGCAGACAAAAAACGCGCAGTTCATCATCATCTCCCTGCGGAACAACATGTTTGAGATTGCAGACAGGCTGATTGGGATTTACAAGACTCACAACACCACCAAGAGTGTGGCAACAAACCCCAAAGTCATTGCAGCCAAAGGACTGACGGAGCTGGGCATTGCTGAGCACAGCGTGGCTCAAAACCAGAGTGAATGAAAAAACAGAAACTTTCCCATGTAAATTAATGTTCTTGCTGCTGCTTACTGTATTTTTTTAAATATACTTTTGTATTTTGAGATTTTTCTCTTTAGATTTGAGTCTCTTTAGACTGATAATAAAAACAAATCTAAATAAATGGCATTCTTTATCATACAGTCTCTATGGGTCTTAATTATATGAACTGATTAAAATAAAAGCTATTATTTCAATTATTATGTCAATTCAGGACATTTTTTCCCCCTCTGCATACTAAAGGAAGCAAATTGCTTTCAAACACCAACAAAGAGCATCCTTATTTAAATACCAAAGCATTTTAATGTGTGTGTTCCAGTAAGTGAAGTCAATATATAAAATAATTTGCATTAATAAGGCTGTAAAATGGAACGGACTGACTTCTATTTCTGGCTGCTCTCATAAAGCTGTGCTCTAGGAATCAGACACTGGGAACATTTTGCACTGAACTGGTTTGGCTGTTGTTCCCTTCTCTGTCTTCCTGTAATTACACAGGCAGGACAACACTTCTCTCTTCCTGTGGCTGTCGTACATTTACACTTTATCAGTCCCACAGCGACTCACCTGCTTGCTCTCACCATCATTTCACAGAGGGCTAACATGTTTTCACTTGTAGAGGTAAGAACATTTAAATCTGTGCCCTATTCCTGCTGCCTGCCTACCCATTAAAGCTCTCTGTTTCCATCATTGTGGTGTCAGCACTTCTGTACCCATGTTTTGCTTTGAAAGTTGTATTTTTAGGAGCTGGAACTGCACTCCAGAAGTCAGGTCAAATATCTGGTGGTCACTAATAACCAGCTCCTGAGCTGGAAGTGTCTCCTACCTTGGGATGAGTTCCTCACTGCTGTATGCTGCTATCTCCTTTTGACAGAAAACAGTCGTGTCCTAAATGCTGCTTCATGTCACTTCTGTTAGCTTAAGCCAGCAGCAGTTATCCGCCTATTTCCTTAAAGAAAAAGATAACCAGTCACTGATGTGCTCGCTCTTCTAAGATGCCCATAGTAGAAAAGCTTGCTTTGCTCAGTTCTAGGATGACAGTTCACTCTTTCCTGTGCTATTTGTCTTTACATTTCCCTCTCACCTTCTCCCACTCAGCACACTTCAAGCTCCCTGCACTTTGTCACAGTCCTGTCACACAGACCCTGAAGCCTCCCCACAACTGAAGAGGCTGAGTGGTGCTGGTGCCCACGAGGCTGCGCTCCCTGTACCAGCCTGCACTCACCTGGCAGCAGGGCAAGGCTCACCAGCACAGCTGCCCTGCCAAACTGGAGGTGGTGTAACTGAACAGGCTATCAACTGAGGGGAAAAGCCCATGTTCAGCGTTACAGTGAAAGCTGCTCTCCACAGTGATTACACCAAATATCACCAGCTGCAAATTAACAGGCACAGAATAAAAACGTGCATGCAGACTATTTGAACTGGGGCCAGAAAGCCATCCTGGTTACTGTCAGATCATTTTCAGAACACAGATCAGCAGCAGTGAAAATCAACAGTAAAGAAAGAAAATGCAAGGCCTTTCTCTGCCCCATCCTAATGTCAGCCACGAGTGCAGTGCAGTTGTGGTTTCTCCCATCTCATGACCTTGACAGAGCCTGAGGATAGATTTATGGCAGTTGCAGTATTCAGTTCTTACCATCCTTCAGTATGAAGCGACAATAAATTAATCTTCCTGCAGGTGAAGTTGTTTTGGCCACAACTGCTGAGCGCTCTCCCTGCCCCCATCCTGACCCATGACCTTCTCTGCAGTATTTTGTCCTCCTGCGAGGGAGCGAGAGCAGCTCAGCCTGCGCCTCGCACTCAGCCAGAGTTATCCCTCCTCCTGCAGACTCCCAAACAGACCTGCAGTGAACAATGCAAATAACGTGAAATCCACACTGGCCAAACTCTTTTAGAGACTCTATATGGTCTATGCTACAAAAAACAGGGCAAGAGGAAGAAATCAAATCAAGCACTGTTTAATACCCACATTCTAGCTCCAGCGAGCCCTGCTGCTCTGTCTCATAGCCCCAGTCCAGTCCCCAAGTGCTTCCAGCTGTCCAGGATTAGAGGGAGAGTGATCAGGGAGGAAATCAAGGTGTTAGCCAACTCTAATGTAAGAATATGCAAATTTATTAAAATATATGGTACACCAAGAAGTACGAGTACTAAACGTTTCTATCAATCAGTGATAAAGACATCTTATAAATTCACGTAATCTGGAAAAATAAAATTGCATTATAAACTTCCCGTAAGATTTGTAAAAGTCGTGAAAATAAAAAAAGCAGATTTGTGTGGCAGCAGACATAGCACCAGGTTGTGAGAGTTACTGTGCAGGTGGCAGCCATCCAGCAGGGCTGGACAGAAAGACACAGAGCCCACCGTCAGTTCCACTGGGCGCTCACCCAGTCCAGGCTGCACCTACAGCGAGTTCACAAACCAGCAGCACAGTGGGACCTGCCATCACTAATGCTAGAGGCACAAACCAGAGGCAGGCAGGGCAGAGGCCTGCTCCTCCAAAGCTCTGCTCAGCATTGACATTTCGGTCCAACCTGAGCAACGTGAACCACCACGCTGCAGAGAAGGCTGCTGCACAGCCACCAATTGGTGAGGCTGTTTTACCAACACCATCATATGAGGACACCGATAAGCTTAGGATTTTACCTCGGCTTCAGGAATACAGCAGCGTCACACCTGAGCATCAGCCCTGCTCTCAGCCCTCACTGACACCAGTGGCAGCAATTGCTGCTCTGCAGGACCCCCCAGCAGCACCTGCTGGTAGGGCAGGCAGGTCTGGGCTGGCACAAGGGTTTCAAAACACCGCGTTGTGAAAGCTGGCCTCACAGTTACATCACCAGTTCAACAGCTTGAGTATCTTTAAAGAACAAAGCGCCCAAGGAATGCTGCTGTGCTAGAACATACCATTATTTGCGCTGAGTCAAAATCAGACACAGATTCATTTTTGTAAACTTATCTGTGTTCTGCAGCTCTAACTGCAACAGTTAATTATTCCAGCCTGTAATCAATCTGTTAATAACTGCAGGTCAAAATCTGCTTTCATTGTGAGTTTAGTACCTCATCCCAGGAAGAGAAGCATGTTACCAATTATTTGACTGCAGAACAAGATGCTATGGCTTTTCTGCTACATCAAGTTAAAGTCTCCATCATTTGCGCTGAAAAGCTAGAAATAGATTTACACTCATTTTCAAGTTGTTTAAGGACTCTTGATAACATCTGAAATGCTTACATGGCTAACTTTGAAGAGAGTTTCGGTACTTATTGCAGTATGTATCTATTTCCACTGCACACTAAATCTTTCAGCAGAAAGTCAAGGATCATTATGAGCACTGAGAATCAATACCTGATCTGTGCACAGCTGGCACTAAAAGCCGTGTGCAGTATTTCACCACAGGTACCACACATACTGCTCTGTAAACAGGTTGTGTCACAGCAGCCAAGAACACACAAAATGAAAACCAGGTCCATGAACACATGACTTCAAGCCTACAGCCACGTCAGTTAAAAAGAGATCAATAAAAGGCAGCTCAAGAGCTCTGCGCACACCAGACCAGACTGACTCGTCCGGGAGCAGCCAGTGAGCGGTCAGGTGCTTTTAAAAACCTTTCATGCTGTACTGCTTCTATTAAAAAAATATTTCCATTTATGCTACCATTATTTTTTTCCAAAGTAGGCATTCAAGAAGTTCCCACAAACTGGAGATTGCTCTCTGCCACTTACAGTTTGTAAGCTGATTGCAGCTTTCTGACACACGCACTGTTTCTGACAGCTTCCAGTTTAAACACCTGCTTTCCTCCCTTACGCGTGAGCAGAAGAAAAAACCTCTTCCTCGTGAACCTTCTCCTCTGCCTAACTGTGAACTGAGAGGAAAGCTGTACTGAAAAAGGAAGGATATGGGAAAAGAAAGAAAAAGCACAGTTCTAACAACTTGGCTTTTCAATTGAAACTTCAAAGACGTGGTGGTGTTTCTTCCTGACGTTAAATCTGATCGCTGACACAGTCAAATAGGAGCAATTCTCCCTAAAAACTCTGCCAGTAAATTCAATTTCTGGCACACCACATCCACTGCGTTCTGCCACCAGGTGCAGAAATCTTGATAAACAAAGAACAAGAAATCTGAAATATAAGTGGGAATGGATTCAATGACAACCCCTGACAGCGGTTTGTGAAATGAGAGCACGGCTATCGCTATGATTACTGTGAGAATAACGGTGACTGACAGAGGATTTGCAGCCTGGAGAAGTTCTTCAGGTTTTCCTCCTTCCTTTTCACTGCTCTTGCTGAGCAGTTTCCTTTTTGGAACCAGTTTTATTTTCGGAGTCAGGATCTTGTTGATCTGACCAACTTCAGTTTTAGACCACACGTCCTTCAACAGGTGTCCAACCCGCGGGTAAATCTCCACGGCTTTAACATCGGGCAGCTCCTTCTCTTTCAGAGCTTTGATACGTTGATGCACATTGTCCACCTTCTCAAGAAAAACGAGTGGAGACTCTTCCTTCTGAATAGAAGTGTTCAGTGACATTAATTCCAGCTGTTCTTCCCTTATTTTTTTCAAGTTCTCAATGTGAGGTTCATATTCTTCTAAAATCTGTCTGTTGATTTCATCCAGCGCAGCCAGCAGAACTTGTTTTTTATGTTCCAGTGTCTCACTGAGCTTCTTAAAGTACTGCACCACTGCCTTCTTATCATCTTGTACGACGCTTTCACACTGCGACTTCTGTTCTTTCAGCTTTTCAATAAGCAAGCACACGTTAGACCAGTGCTTATCAGTTAACTGCTCGAGAATCTTCCCAGAAGACTCCTTCTCTTTTAGGTAGGCGCTGTGAAGGTCATCGATGGGATGGCCGTTGTGCTTCCCTATCGTAAGGCAGTGGCCGCACACGAGCTTTCTGTCCAGAAGGCAGTAGACGTTCAGGGGCTGCCTGTAGTGCTCACTGCAGGTGGCCACGTCGCAGCCGTCCTCCTGGCGGCACTTCTCGATGATGGCCTTCAGCGCAAAGTTGATGGGCAGCGCCTCGGTGCCCGAGGCAGGGATCTCAACCACGCTCCTGCAGTTGGGGCACTTCAGAGGAACTCTCAGGGGTCTCCAAATGGAGAAGTTGCTCGACAGCTGAATGACACCTTCCAGGCAGCTCCTGCAGAAGGTGTGCGAACAAGGCAGGACGCGCGGGTCTTCAAACAGGCTGTAGCAAATGGAGCACGTCAGCTCTTCCTCAAACTGATGCATGTCCTGCAAAAGAAAAAGAAGTCTGATTTTTCTTCTCACTATCTTGTAAAGTTGTCTCATTCTCCTAAAGAAATGTAATAACCAACAACCTAAGCTAACCGACATGTTCACTGCTAACGGGAAAAAAGACTATGATAAAAAACTCAAATACTCCCCAGGTACTGGGAGTAAAACTAAACCTCCCAGGGCCTCTACACAAGGTGTGGGAGCCACATCTTTACTTTCCAGCTTTTCCATGGAGTCATTGTGGCACCCTGAGGTTCTCCTGATTTGCACATTTCACATTTGTAAGCCATGTCCCAGACACCAGAACTAAAGCATGCCAATAACACAGCCAAGCCAAACAAATCTGCTTTCACTGACTGCATGCATTATTTTCTGAGAGTCAATTACTGTGGGAAATACATTTAAGTGTGCACACTAACAAACCTATCGTCAATTTTGGGAACACCACTTCCACTTTGCTGAATTTTAAGTTTTCATTCATGGTTGGGAAAAAAAATCCTTAGCAGCATCCTCATTATTTTCTCCTACATACGTGGAGCCAACAGAAATACAAAGCCCACAGACTTCTTATGTTTGCAACCATTATTTTTTCCTAAGTCCAGGGCAGTAGTTCCCTTCCAATGAACCATTACAAAAGGGAAACGTTCCTCACAAACAGTACACGAGATAAAGTGCAAGATCAAAATAATCTTCAAAGACACTTCTAACTGCAAAGTATTTGCTTGCTCTCACAGAAGCAGAGGAAGAAACAGACTGCTTTCCTCTAGCACTGTTACGCAGCTCCTGTAACTCCTGTGAGCACACACAGGCAGGGCAGCCAGGACTCAGTGTGGGGCTCCTGCACAGCCCCTGCCCAGGAAGGCACCAAATGCCCCCACGTGCTGCAGGGAAAGCAGACTGCACATGGGCACCAGCGGAAGGAAGGCAGGAGGCGGCTGCCAGAGACGGGAAACGCCAAGGAAGGGAGATCCAGACCCAGCAGCAGTTCAGCAAGGAACAAGAAAAACTTTCCCAGGATAAAAATAAAAGGCAGGATGAAGGTGCCAGGGGGAAATTCTTTACAGAGAGAGTGGTGGTGCTGGAACAGCTGCCCAGAGAGGCTGTGATGCCCCGTCCATCCCTGGAGGTGTTCAAGGCCAGGTTGAACGGGGCCCTGGGCAGCCTGGGCTGCTATGAAATGTGGAGGTTGGTGGCCCTGCATGTGGGGGGGTTGGAGATTCATGATCCTTAAGGTCCCTTCCAACCCTGTGATTCTATGATTCTGTAAAGGTGGGAAATGTTTTCCTGTCCAGAGCTTTGGCAGCAAATGTATTCATCTAAACACACATTCATCACAGGAGGGCCAAACAGTGTAAGCAAATTACAGGCTAGAAGACACGTTAAAATTGCAAGTGTAACCATGCTGGGAGCATGCTGGGTTTCTGAAAGCTTGCAGCAATAGCAGGCCCAATGAGCAGCTGTCAGCTTACCCTCCTGTAATTAGCAATGCCGTAGACGAGATAAAAGCACGTAATATAGCATATCTGCCACAGCTATGTTTTAAAATTCATTAGTTTGACATTCTTTGTACAGACTTCAAGGATCTAATTTATTTGATTCTAAAAGCAAGCTTTCATTTAGATGGAACGAAGTAATGCAGTGTATTCAATGACAACACTGCATTCCTGACCTACAGAGTCAGCCACTGCTCGTCTCATTAATTATACAAGCACTCGTCCAGTAACTACTATATCTAGAATATGGCTGTGTTGATAAGTAAGTAACCATTCTACAACAGAAGTCAGCTGTAATAAGCTGATAAATTCTTAAAAGGTGAATTTGGCACCAGGTAGCAGCCGTGAACCTAAGCCAGCTCCAGTCTGACCCCAGGAGTTCGGTGCTGCCAACAACTCACTGCAGCCAAGCTAAACCAGCACCAGAAAAGCTGCCTCCTGATGTTACAGAGGTCCGCAGTACCCCCTGCATCACTAGTGTAGAAGCCCAAGTTTGCGTTAAGGAAATAAATAAGCGATTAAATGACACATAGGCAGTATTTTCCACTTCAAGGTCACCGCCGTGTTGAAGCACGGCAGAACGTACGCTCAGCAAACACAACAGGCTGAGCTGCAGCCCGGCGTTGGTTCATCGGGACGAGCGGTGCCTGCCGGGTTCCAACGAAGGTAACAGCGCCGGCAGCCAACCCAACAGCACAGCTCCAAACTTCGCATCCCAGCGAGGACGGGACACGACTCGGTGCCACCGACATCCCACAGCCGCGTCGCAGCAGCGCTCCGTCGCCGTTCCGCGCCATCGGCCCAGCTCGGCGGCCCTCGCAGAGGCCGGGAGGAGCGCGCGGCCCGGAGGCGGAGGTCGCTTCCCGCGGGCCAAACGCCGCCGTGCCGAGCAGCTTCTAAACGAGCGCGCTTTCAACGTAAAGAAATACATCAAAAACCACCGAGGTGACCGGGCTGTACGGAGGGGGAGCCGAGGGCCGACGAGCGGAACGGCGCCTGCGTCCTGTAGGGCTCTCGCTGCGGGCGCACGGCGGGGCTGCGTGGGAAACGCGGCCCGCACAGCCGAGCCCCGACCGCTCCGCAGTCCCACAGCGACGGAACGACGCGGCCCGCCCGGCCGATACGCCGCGGGTTCGATTCGGGCTCCGCGAGCGGCCCAGATTCGTTCTCGCCCGAGCCGAGAGCCCCGGGCGGTGAGGACCCCGCGCCTCCCGCACGCCGGTAATCGCCTCGCGCAGCCCCCAGCCTCCCGCCCTCTCCCTCACCTCACCGCGCCGGCCGCCCCTCACGGCTCCGCCGCTCTCCTCAGAGCGCCGAGCCGCGCATGCGCCGCAGCGCCAACGGCTGCGCCGTTCGAAAGTAAACGGTCGGCGCGCGGGGCGGAGCCGGGCGGCAGCCGTTACCAGCCCCCCCCCCAACTCTCCGTAGCGCAAATCGCAATTTGCCCCTCAGGCAAACTACGGTTTCTCATCCGCGCTCCCTGTGCCGCGCCCCAACGCGTCCCAACAGCGGTCCTCCAAAAGACGTCGTGCCCAGGAGTGACACAGAGCCCAAAGCGGGGCGAAAGAAAAAGGAAGTCGAAATGACAAAATAAGAGACACGGTTCTTCGTGCAATGGGTTCCATTTATCTTGGGTTTGTGGAACCAAAGCAGCTAATAAAGGTTAAAGCAGCACAAACTTTTTACCCTGGTTGTATTTCCAGAGAAATTTTGCATACTGCTGTTGTTGCCGTATGGATGGCAGTATTTTATAGATTTGTTTCGCAATTTTTTTTCTCTTATTGTCCAAACAGGGCACATTCCTTTCCCAAGCTCTGTAGCTTCATTACATATTGCATTCCATTACTCCACCTGCCCAAAAGCAGAAGTGCTGCTCACAGCGTTCCTTTGGTTTGCTCACATGCCCAGGAACACATCACAGGATGCAGGCACAAAGCACCTTGTGTCAAGCCAGAAATCTGCCTGAGTTGAAATTATCAGATCTTAGAAGTGCTTGCACTGACAAAATCATTTAAATTGTGTATTTTCTTTAATTTCAGGTGGGCAGATCCCTGCCATTTGTGCTCGTTTTGCCTGCTGACAGTACCACAAACGTGTACCTGCACACTGCGTTCAACTTGCCCCCTGCCCCTACATCCACGTCACCCAGCAGCTGCAGAACTCAGGCACCCATCACAGAGGTGGCCTCATCCATTTGCAGGATGCTCAAGCAGCCACGTGGGCTCAGTAAGAACCCACCTCAAGAGCAACCCAGAAAATGGTTTCTCAGAGAGCAGCTATTGGCAGCACATCTCACAGTAAGTCAGAGATGAGCTTGGATACAGCACGTGCTCATTCACTGACAGACCACAGAGACAGTAACCCCCTTTTTGTTACAGAGACGTCACCCTGAAGATTTTATTTACTATTTGAGCAAGGAAAAAGAAAAAAACAACTTAAGCCAGATACAGAAATCTTTAAATCCAAAAAATCATTCTCCCCTTCAGTCTGATTTGTAGAAAAAGTTTCAGCCACATGGATGTTTTGTTGCTAGCAAACCTTCACCAATTGAAATGTTGGGAACAAGTAGCACCTCTGAGCAGAACTCTGCAGCTGACAAATTGTTAGGAGCAAGACAGTGGGTCACTGTTCTATCTGCACAGCTGACAGCCTGCAGTGCGCTAATGCCAGAGCCCTTATGAAAGAATAGCTTGAGACAGCTCCCTTCACACTGTGCTAGGAGGCCTGCTGCACTAACAGCCCGATAAATCACAGCCCATCCCATTCAGATCGCAGAAACATGACAGTGGTAACAAAGTTTTGAAGATGAACAGGTAGTGCAAAGTGGGTAAGCCCACAAACACAACGGAGGCACAGCAACATAGGTATTAGTTGTGTCTTGGTACAAAGAGAGTCTTCTGGAACACAATTCAGCAGTTAACCCCCTTAAATTTGTAAGTCATAAGGAAACCCTTCTTTGGGTTCACAATACAACCAAGCTGAGAATGTCATGTTTCTTGAGAGAAACTTCTCCATCTCCTCAAAACTCCTGTTTGTGTCCTGATGGGTAGAAATGCTCTGCCACTTTACTCAGAAACCTATTCTAAATCCTCTGCAACTGCACCAAAGACCTCCTAGTAACCTACAGCGCCTGAAAGAGTCCCAGTGGCATGGACACTCAGCCTGGAATTGACTTTGTTTCCAGGGTACAGAGACTACATAATACAGAATATATGGATAGATACATATTAATTCCTTCCACTACTCCCTCAAAACTCTCAGGGAACAAGTTACTAAAGAAGCAGCTCAAACAAGGGAGCTTTTGCCAACAATTTACAAAACAGCTGATGCCTACCTGTGCGACCTACTGTAGGGAACCTGCTTTGGCAGGGGGGTTGGACTCAATGATCTCTGGAGGTCCCTTCCAACCCCTACAATTCTGTGATTCTGTGATGATCTGAATAACAGCATACAGTGGTTTGTAGCCAGTTTATTCTCAAGTACTTACAAGAACTAGAAATTCTCAAGATGCTGCAAGCTTTACTTTGAAAAAAACCCTATTCTAAGAATGACACACGTGCTTTCTCCTGCTACCTAGTGCTGCCAGTACTCAGTCTGACAACAAGCACATGCTTTTCCATTGAGTTGCACAACTTCTGTAACGTATTCACAGATCAGACTGCAGTCAGAGCTTCCCACATCTGTCATTTCAATGTTATTTTATAGTCACTTCAAGTCGATCAAAAATACTTTCTTCAAGCTATTGAAACTGTTGTAGGTAAGTTGTTCTTAGCTTTGGAGCACACCAAAGCAGCAGAATAAACACAGCAACCCCATTTCAAGGGATTTACAAGTAATAATGGAATTTCTTTATGGAAATCAAATTTCCAGTCACTCTTCTGTAGGTACTAAAGCAATGTTAACTCTTTCAATAAACCATGTGCCTTCTGAGTTTTACTCTGACAGTGGCTAAAACTTGCTATTACCAAGAGTTTGTAAACTCAACACATTTTCTGCTACTAAGTTCCCTTTCATAAAGTCTATTTGATCCAGATGCATGACTTCTGTAATTGCTTCCAGCCTTGTGACCAACATTCCTGCCAGTAATTTGGTGACATGCAGAGCTGAGGAAACATTTATAGTTAAAAGTGGCAAAGTCTACAAGTATTAACATGAAGACATTCTTAATTATAAAACAGCAGAAGTAATTCAGCAATTTAAGCAATAAACTATACGATAGGAGTTGTAAACAAATACACGCAGATTTCTTCACTTTCAGTAAGAAAATGCCACTCTTCTTCCTCCCTTGCACATCCACAGCTTTTTTTACTCCATGAGGGTTTTGAGACTGTGTAAAAGAGGATTCCTCACTGGAGAGATCAGCTTCTCTTACTCAGGACTAAGTTATCTTAGCCACAGTTTAATTAGCAAAACCAACTCATTCCATGACCAAAACAGCAGAAGCAGACAACTCACCAAGGCTGCTTGTGATCCATCAGATGATACAGCTGCACAAAGAAAACAGGAAAGGTATTTCCCCATTCAAGCTTCATGCATCCAACAAGTGGCTCCCCGAGGCTGAAAGGCTTCACGCAGCCAGGAGCTATTCCTCATCCAGGAACGGGAGAGAAAGAAATAGGGTCAACTTCTTTTAGGCTGTTTGTCCAGATGAAGCCTAATATCCTTCACAGAGCTATTCCTCCTGGTTACATCAGCTAACTCCAGCCCTAAAACCCCAGGCAGCTATTTGTCTTACAATGCTGCTCCTTGGAATTAAAAGCCTGCCTGGAATAGCTTATGCTAGAAATCAACTTCTGATCTTTCATTTGTTTATTAAACCTGTACTATATTAAATACGGCTTAACAGCTCTTTTTGTATTTCCCAATACTGAGAAAGCAGGCTAATGTGTGACCCCACCTCTGCACACTTGGTTATTTTTCTTAGAGCTGACCTGGGATTAAGAAGTTAGCAACTGCATGATGACAATCCAAATATCACAGAGCAGCATTCTGAGCATTCTCATTCTTGAGAAGGGCACTTCATGTCGTATCTCTACAGGTAAAAAAGAAACACCTGAGCTCCCTCTGTCAAAGGAGCATTTCCATCATTCTATAATGTTATAAGCTAAAATACATCCAACCCTCCAGACACAAAACTGACTTGTGGCCATCGCCCAGTGACAAGGCTGCACCCTCAGGTAATTCTGGTATCTCTGCCATTCCCGTTTCCAAGCTTTTACCACCTGATTGGTGTTCCAGAAGTAAACCTTCATCCCACACCTCCCCTTTCCCCGGGAATACAATTACCTTAAACGAAAGCTTTTCTGGGGAGGAAAACAAAAAAAGGCATTAGCCAAACAAATTCACTCCGACTGCTGCCCCCCAGTGGATGCTGGGCTATTCAACCTTCCAATATTTTGGTGTACAGAGTAGGGACAGGATGTGCTGAGAAGCAGGTGAATTTCCTGCTTTAGCCCTTTTGGATTTTTAAATAAAACACTGAGAACGCCACCTGTAAAAAGGAGCGGGCTGAGGGTAGAGGAGCAGAGGGTTAAGGAGATTCTATGCAAGAAAGTAACAGCAGGAAGGGGCAGCAGAGCTGTAGGACCTTGCCACAGTGTTGTTTCCTTTTCTTCCTGCTTCAAACCTACACACTGCTACAAACAGCTGTTCTCTCACCTCGACCAACAAGGCAGCCATCTTCTCCAGCACATCACACCACAGACCTCGTGTGCGACCTGAGTGAAATTTCACTTACAGCACACCAGCTTCTCCAAACAAACACACACATCATGCCAACTCTCCCCTCCCCTCTGAGGTAGTTTGATTTTGCACAAAAACACCCCTACAATAACACATGCTGCATAATTGGGCAAAGCAGGAATTTACACCAAAAACCACCGTGCCAAGCCCACGTAGCACAGTGCGCTGATGTACGGCACGTAACTGAGTGAGACGGTGGAGCAGAGCAACAGCAGCACAGCACTCATCTTCAGCGCCTTCTGAACACACAAAAAGACACGCTCAGTACAATACTGTTGCAAGATTTAATGTTTATTTCCCCAAGACAGCCTAGCCTGCACTCTACTTGGATAAATTTCACAAGCTAGTTTCCGCTGCTTCTAGTTTTAAACTTTAACCATGTTTCTGATGACAAGGAATGCTGCAAAAATACTCTAGTCCAACAAAGAGTTATGATCACAAAATAATCTTTATCCATTCTACAGTGTTTCAGAATTACCAGTTGATTTTAAAACACAAGGTAGATATAGATGCTAATGGTGGCTAATCTGGTATGTTTTATTATAGCAAACTGTTGTTCATGCAACACTTGTGCTCAAAGGGGAAGGCACAGCATTTCCTACAATGAGCCACCTTATAAAGAGTTCATTTTGTACAAATTTGTAACATCTCCTTGAATTTAGTGTGCAGAACCTCAAAACTGAGGCATTACTCCAATTATAAAAACACTTGCATCGCTTTTGTGCAAGTTTTAAAAATACAAAGTTCTCTCTAAAGTGGCTCAAAATAGATTGTTCATGGCTGCCTACATCTAAGATAAAAAGAGTCTAAAACAATTGGATTAGGCATATTAAAGGTGTTCAAACCATGACTTGATTTGTACATCTATTCACACCTCTTTTTCGGTCTTTATTCGGCAGTACATATGCACCAAATTCCATTTTTAGAAGTTTCCATATCATTTTCATAGAAAACAAAGTTTGAAAACAAGTAACATTGAAACACAGCACGGTATTCTACCACAACGGAAACATTTGGTTACAGGACTCAACAAAATCTAAAAATGAACTATGCTGTAGATTACCACATGCAAAGGTCTTCATGTTATCTTTGAAAATGAAAAGGATGAGATTTTATTACCACATTTTACTGCTTTCTACTATTATGGTAACTTGTGTACTGCAACACAGTCTATTTGAAGGGAAATGTATGATCTTTTTCATGCAAAAATCTACAAATTAGTTTTGATGATATGGAAAGCTTTTCATAACATCAAACATTCATCTGGTGCAAATGCACAGGGAAGCCTTCCTGAAACTCTGACTTTACAAACAACTAATAAGCCATACAGGAAAGAACTTAAAAATAACTGAAAGAAAAATAAGGAGGGGGAAAAAAAAAAAAAAGAAAAAAGAAACACAGGCTGCAGGAGTAAACCAGAGTCTGCTGCTAAACCGGTCTTGGTTTTGTGTCCAGTGTAAGTTAACACTTATGAACTCATTTTGATGATTTACTAGGTTTTATTATCAGCCCCCTGAAGGCGAATCAAGCTTGCATGCGTTCACATACAGCATCACAACCATACTCTCGTACACACGCCACTCCAGGACTAGGAGTCTGCTTCATGACTGAAGAGCCCCGTATTGGAAACAAGTCTGGCTCCCAGCATCGAGTCCAGACATTCATTCAATGCTGTCCATTCACACGGTGCTTCATAGCAAGGCCTGGGCTCATTCTCCTTGGACTTATATGGGCATCCTATTCTCTTATGCTTACAAGGCTTGATGATGGTAGTACTGCATTTCCCCCCAATTGCTCTAGTAAGTCATTGTTCCTTCTCAGGCACTGAAGATCTTTGACCTGTAGCCCTTTTTCTTTGAACAATCTAAATAAGCATTCAGTGTGAAGTTTTTCATTACATTTTGCCACTCATTCTCACTCGCACCCACTCGCCATCTTGACTTCATTTGGGCTTTTCTGTGATTCCAAATGAAATCTTCACATTTTCTTTCCCGATTTAATGCAGCAGCGGATCCCATGAGCCAAGATTGATGGATCAAACCTTTTTTTTTGTTTTTATTCAGTGCTGCATTGTACCTAACTTCCAAAATACCACTCTAAAACTGGAACCCTTCTGCTGGTACATTGGCAGATGAATTGAAACCAAATGTTCCGCCTTGTATTGCTTCTGGTACAAGGCTAGGATCTTCATCAATCTGCAAGAGAACAAGAATATAATAAGAAGGAACAGAAAGACAGGCTCACTGAAGTAACAAACTGTTACTCCACCTATCCCCTTCATTGCATTTTCTTGCAACCTTCTCCCCCAACCAGGGAGTGCTATTATGATGAAATAATTTAACCTGAAATGCTTCAGATTTAGCAGATACACTTCATGGCACCTGGTACTCTCATTTTTAAAAGTTTCCACTCTGCAGAATACTGGAAAGTATTCTGTTGGCCACATATCATGCTTATTTGACAGCTTATGAAGTGTCACTGGTCCTAGAAAGAGACCAGTAATACTTAAAGAGCAAGTTGAAATAGCAGTTTCAGCTTAAGTAGGTAGCACACAGGTTGCTAAATTGGCAACGTATTAAATTCCAAGTCTTGCTATATACACAGAATCTGAGCTCCTAAAAAGGACCTATTGCTTACATTTAAAAACAGACTGGCATACAAAAAAAAAAAAAAGGAACCTTAAATGTAGGTAACGTTTGCATGTTCAGTTCAACCATTTCTGCAATTAAGTGCTCCCCAGATCTGTCTAATCAAGTAGAAAACCTTCACTGCATGAAGCAGACTGACATTATATCTCCTTTATGCATAGGGAGCATCTTTCATAATTTGAAGTGCACAGAAATCTAATACCTTTGTTTGATTTACACTGCACGTTTAAACTGAAAGTGACATTCCTGATCAGCATGTTTTCACTTTCATTTGATGCACACATACCCACCTCTGAAATTATCAGAACATTCAAAACGTTTTTCTTATTAAGCAGAATCTTGAACTTAATACTCAAGTCAGCAAGTAGGTTAGCAGATGTGAAATAGCTGACAGCTAGAAGAACTACTAGTTCTTCTAACCCTAACCCTAGCCTAGTGTTTCATTCCCTACAGATAAGGCTTAAATCAGGTATCAGACCTTTAGGCACTTCATCATGAACAACAGAAGATATGCAGCAGGTTCATATAAGGGCTCATTCTTCACTGAATCTGAAGTTTACTATGAAGTTCTGGAGATCTAACAGACTCTGAAACCAAAGGGTTGGTTTCTAATAGAAGGGTTGGTGATAATAATAAACAAAACGTGCAGAACCTTAACAGTGCAGAAAGGTGTTAAGATAAACAAGCAACCCACTGAGCAGTGCTCTCCAGTAGCACGGTTGCAGAACATGACATATCCTGAATGGTGATGAGTCAGCCAAGCCTTCAGACTTCAAAACCCATTTAAATAGTTTCCTCTATGCTCCTTATCTCATTGAAGGTGACATGTAAGCAAAACCAAGCACAATACCCCTATGTTTATCACATTGTTGAAGAGCACATCAGAACTTAAGCAACTAGTCCATGCTATTGCCACTATGACTATTACAGTGCTATGATATTTTAGGTGCCAGTGGACATTCTATGCTTCTCTTAGACTACACACAAGGCAAGTTTTTCAGAATCCATAATCATAAGGCACAAGATCTATGCAAGTACACCAACCTTTCACATAATACAAGACCAACTTAAGGTCAGAGCAGCTCACGTGCAGTGACTATTTCTGCAATCTGTGTGACTGCATCACTCAGGAATACAGATCAGGACAATGCCTATTGCTTTAAACAGATGAAGAATTTCAAGAGCTGGAAAACTCTACTTATTGCCTACAATCAACTATTCAGAAAGGCTGTGACATCAAGTTAAAATTCTATAAGCCTTTTAGTGTGAATGCCCTGAAATAATTCTGCATATTTGGCTTACAAACGTGCAACAGTACCCTAAATGCACATCAGTCAATTGGATAGACTAAAAAATTCACATGGAAAACAACCCAACAAACGCCAGGCTTCGGAGCTGCTGCCTCCCTTCTGAATCACATTTATGAAAGAAAACAAATGATCACAAAGGCAGGTGTCAGAACTGTAACGCACTTACATCATCTGAAGAGAAGAACTGATCAATGATCTCATAAGCCAGTTTGTAGATGTCTTCATTTTCATGATTTTGTAGCTGTTCAATTTTCTCCAGGCCTACACAAAAGATGCAGTCAAATTAAAATACTAAGTTGAAGTAAAACTACCTCCCTCACTCTCCTTAAAGTCTCATCATACAAAATCATTAAAAACAAACCCAGATATAAAGTAAAACTCAATAAGAAGCTGTTAAACCCAC